CCTTCAATAAGTAAAATGAGAAGATGATCAAGCATCAACGGTGAATTCTCGACTGTTGATGTAGAAATAGCTTCGATTCTTCGATTCTTTGCTTCTGCAATGCTTTTGCTTTGTTTTCTCTCTCAAAATGTGTTAAAAACCCCAAAGTATCTAAAGAAATCTAATTATAGAGTTGTAAAACCCGCAGACCTTGCTTAGCCCAACATATCGCGCTAAACACGTCTCCACTAAAAAACACCAAACCGCCATAAAATGTGCTAAGTGCGACGCTAAGCGGGAAAAGAAGTGAAAGCTACTGCCTAGCCTTCTTTTAGTGTTCTATGGCTCGCTTAGCACAACCTCGAGCAATATTTTTCTTCTCAAATTTCACATGAAGTCCTTCTTTAGCCCTCTAATGCTCCAAGCTTCAACCAAATGAATAAAACTACAATTTTAGCCAAAAAAATTATTAACTACACAATATTTACTCGATTAAATAAAATACGATTATTCATAGTAAAATAAGGGGTTTAATAAGAATATACAATGAAGAGTTGAAAAGCACCACTAAACTATACTAAATATTAACACATTTCGACACCTAACAAAATACAACAACTAACATAGTCAAATCTCCACATTCGACATTGAAGAAATGGTTGGGTGATAGTAAGGGTGATTTATGTAGAGATTGGGACGGGGTGAACGAAATTCTCCAAAACCAACATACCGAAATACAATCTACTTTTGGTTGGAGCATTACCGTGCAAGCACATTGATTCAAAGACAATATTCTATATTCACAATTGGTTGGGTTTTTGTCTAGGTCGTGATTGAATTTCAAGCGAAGCAAGCAGAACAGACTGGTATGGGTAAGGAAAAATGTGGATGCCCAATTAGGAAGACTTACAGTCTTCTATGTGCTTATCTCATTGCAAAAAAATAAATATTAATTCCTCGATACGTATGGATGAAGTGTACAGTCACTGAAAAAGACTCTGATTTGATGATGATGGTGTGATCAATGATGGTAAAGCAAGTATAACTATTCAAACCGAGTGAAAAATAATCCAAGATAGATGTGCTAAGGCAGATGACACCATGAAATTGCATATTAAAGAGCAGTTAAGGAAGATTGCATGTCTGAAAACCACATATTTGAAACCTCCTTCAAAACAGTTAAAACCAAAGGTGCCCTTAAAAAGGATAAAACCTACTCAAGATGGCAATTCAACAAAGTGGTCTCCATCATACTTTGAACATGTTGATTCACATTTCCCGATTTCTCCAACTTCAAAATCTCAAAAAAGTGTGTACAAGGGTTCTCGCATTAGCAACCACCTCAGTCACCACATATGCTCGAGATTGAATTCATTGGAGAAATGCCGCTTTTTATGCACAAACACATTGAGCAGATTATGAATGTTAAAGATGATGGTAATTGCAGTTTTCGAGTCGTATCTAAATTGCTCGTCAAAGAAGAGGATAATCACCAACTTGTCCGAATAGTCTTTTTGAAAGTGTTGACGACGCATATGGAATTCTACACAAAGTTATATAGGACAAAACACATTTTGATTCAATACAAGATGCACTTATTCCTTGTGTTAGAGGTAACACATCATTTTCAAAGTGGATGCGTTTCCTTGATATGGGTCACCTTATAACATGTGCATATGATAGTGTGTATCGATCTGACAAAATATAGGTTCTCGGAGACGTTTTTTCACTTCGGAGTGACCCACCTAAAGACCATTCCGGACGCATAATGTGCATAGGATGACTTTCAAAATTACATTTTTGTGAGGTTTATTTGAAACCTGGGTGTCCAATATAAGCTACATCGATAGCGTGGACGATACATTCAACAAATGAGGCGAAAACTTGGTCAGATCAATTTCTGGAGAGGATGGAAGAGTTCACCAAATTGAGCGTGTTTGAAAGAGAATCAAATCAGGAAACGTCGAAGGTGGAACCAACTGTAAATTTATACAGTATTGAATCTTTTGATACATTTTAGAATGCAATCGATACACTTTTTATTTGTATTATCGTCAATGATGTAATCTTGATACGATTTAATACATAAGTAATATATCACCTCGGAAATGATGGTGTAATTCTTGATTAATTTTCTAATTTGCTCATGGTTTACACAGTATGTGCTCGTTTACTAAATTTTTGATTTTTTTTTTCTGATTCAGGTAAATTTTCGGATATACATATCTGAATTAACTCACGTATTTAAAAAATACTATCAGTAAAATTTTGGATATTCATCTCTGAAGTTACTCTTTTTGCAAAAGAAAAAAGTGTGGTTTATTCAGAGAGAGATATATTTCCGAAAAGTTACTTAATACATGATAAGATTTTGATGTTCAAAGTGATTCAATATTTGTATAAATAAGGTGTGTCTCAATTCTTTTTTACACAACACACTAAAACCAGAGAATGAATTCATATCCCCATCTTACATTTGTATATTTCAATAGCAAGAAGCCGTCACTTCCGTTTAAGATCACCGAGGAAACATCTCTCATAAATATTAATATCCAAACTGAATACTATACTGCGCTTTATAGAAAATCGCAGAATTGTCAAGCTCGAGTCGGTCACCCTCGTTTGACAACGAACAAAAAGTCTATTTTACCAACTTTAAACTGAAGACGGATGAAGATTTAAAAGTTATTGTGAAATGCTTTTCTCTGTTATAAATGAAAATGTCAGATTGAAGTGGATGCGAAGATTCAAATATCTGTCGAGGATATAATCATTATGTTGCAACATCGTGATGATAATATGTAATGTTAAATTTATTTTAATGATTATCTATATAATAAATGTTTTAATTTAATGTCATGTTGATGTTGGTGTTGGTTTGATTTTGAATATGATTTTGTCATATTTTTGGTTTTTCTTCTTTTTCTTGTATCAAGTTATGTTTAGATATATATCTCTCTAAACATACCTTAAAAAACCTTCAAATTTAATTTAGTGTAAAATAAAGATTGATATGTCTTAAGATATATCTTCAAAAATAGAAAATATTTTTAACATTTCGCCAAAAGTCTTGGACAATATATAATGTTTAAAGAAAAAATTATTTTTTTTTCTTTTCAATTTAATCACAATAACAACACTAAAACTAAATCTCAAGAACAAATGACTCAACCGATACCTAAAGGATATGAGTGTATGAGAGTAATTGATCAAAGTGATTTCGATAGAAGAATTAGGTCTTCTAAACATATCTTTGACATAAAATGGTAGAATTTCAAAAGAAAATGTCAAAGCTAAATAGAATGAGAATGCCATTTAAAATAAAATTCAAAATCATAAAAATAATACACGTAACGTAACATAAGCCAATAGCAACATTGATACAAAATAGTCTTGATGAAAGAGTTGTGTTTCCTACAAACACTTGTTTTTTTATTCATGGTAGAATTTTCAATACAAATGACAAGGTATAGATGCACAAAGGAGTATTGTTTATGAATTGACATTAAAAAAAGAAAGAAGCTAAATCCTACCAATAGAAAATCTTTGATGGAATAAATATTGTTGATGATGTATCTAAACCTTAATTATATCTTTCTTACACCATTGAAATTTCTCGCTGAGTTGCAGACTTGCAGTGTGTGCTTATATTTCCCAACCAGATGTTTAGAAATACACATCAACACTGTTCCAAGTCTTAGTAAAGGTACACAAGTTAGTTATTTATGGATATCAACATGAAAGGGCCACAAACTCAGGGAAAAGGTAGGAGGGAAAAAAATACCTTCTCTTAGCCTGATTAATTAAACAAAACAGGCATACTACCACATACACAGACATCACTTGCCCGTTCTGTTTCTTTCTCCTCAAAACTCATCACATCCAAGCAAGGTGAACAACAGAAGCCACGACCAATCAACTCATAGCGCATATCAACATGGCTTTGTTGAAATGAAATCATGATCCAAAGACCACTTCCGATGGTTACGATGCTGGGAGCCTATGCTTTCTGATCAGAGGCTTTCCCTCTCAGCGACTGATTCCCATCTAATAAAAACTCTACATACACATGCTTATAGATAAGGTAGATCATGCAGAACAACATTAACATGCTGAAACACTACGATCTTTGGTCTTTTGCTCATAACCAATAAAGAATGTTTAATTGCCATCAAAATATGACTCCAGACAGGCCTCTCAGCAAGAGATCAAGCTTATTAAAAGGAATTCAAAATAACTAGCTATCTATTTAAACAGTAAACTTCCATCACGCGTTCACTCAAGACATTGATTATTTCATGAATGATGCTCTGTAAACATAATTTCCTCATGATGATGGAAAATCATGGATGCATTGAGCTAATCCTTCTTATCTTTTTTTTTCTCTCCAATCCATAATCCTTTTTTTCACTCCTTCAATCCACACAATCCATAAAACCAACAAAATCATGGATGCATTGAGCTAATCCTTCTTATCTTTTTTCCCCTCCTTCAATCCATAATCGCCCTAACATAAGGTTCTTCTATTCGTGCTTATTTTATTAGAACTAAAAGCAATAACTCAAATACACATAAATCACCAATTTGCAGCAATAAAACCAACAAAATAATCAAAGCAACATACAACAATAGGTTATTACTAATACACTATCAATTGGTACCACTTGTTGGTGCTTGATATGAAGACATATATACCGGTCAAAATGCTTGATATAAAGACATACATACCAGTCAAAATGCTTGATTTAAAGACATATATGCCAGTCAAAATGCACATTTGAGAACTTAAGAACTTAAGAGAGGCAGTGCAATCATATATGTTTACATGAATAATGACTTTTAAGATAAAAATTGATTGGTAATGCTAACAATCCCAACAAAGTGATTTATTAGTATTTGTTTCACTAATTACCGAGTGAAAAAATAAGTTGTACATTCTATAATATCATCACACGCAGTTTAGCTCTGCATCTACATTCAAAAGCAAGACAATAGTAAAATTAAACCTTGTTTCAAACTCATCAACGGACTGAATCAAACTTCCTAAGCATATCACAGTGAGGTGTTTCCCTGATATATCCCCACTGGCGACGCTGCATCTCAAACTGACAATTCTGGCGAAGAATACCAAAGTATTCTCTCTCAACTCTTTCCTCAATTGTAAGACGTTCGCGGGTATCCAAGGGATAATCTTGTTCAAACTTTGTGGACTTAACATAGTAGTTAACACCCTTAGGTGTAGTAAGCCGGTGTTCATAGGGATAGTTTTGCGAAAGAGTGTAGATAGGATCTGACGAAGGCAAAAAGTTAATAAGCAAAATGAGAAGTACAGGAAGCACCTGAATCAAAGCACGGATATTGAATCCGCCGGACCCATTATCAGCAGCAGGCTGTCTATGAGCCATCCCGGGTCCTCCAAAACTAAAGCCACCGAAATTAGCAGCAGGGGCCATTCCTCCAAAGAAGAAATTTCTAAATATTTCCTCGGCGTCAACATCAGCATCATAGTAACCATTAAAACCTCTAGCATGAGCGGGTCTGGCGGCAGCGCGCCTTTCATAAACCACTTCATCTTCTCCAGAAACATCATACTTTCTCTTACTCTCCTCATTACCAAGACACTGAAAAGCCTTGGACACCAACTTAAATGCGTCCTCCGCTCCAGGGGCCTTGTTCTTGTCAGGATGAACCTTCAAAGAGAGCTTCCTATAAGATTTTCTGACATCATCCACAGTGCAACTCTTCTCCAACCCTAAAATATCGTAATAATTCTTCTTCCTCTTAATTTCTCTTATAATTGAAATTTGTTCCTGACTATATGATATTGAGGAAGACGAGGAAGGCCCCGGCGCCGGAGCGGAAGATCTTCGACGTATCGAAGGTTGATCGGAGGGAGGCGTGTCGGCAGCTACTGGAGGATGATCCCCTTCATCTTTGTCTATGGTGGACAAGAGATCGTCAACGGGAAGGGCGGGATCGAGGCGGCGAGCTTTGTTAAGAAACTTCAAAGCGCGATTCCGATCGCCGTTTTGCAAGGCTTGTTTACCGATTCTGAAGGATTTCAATGCATCGTCTTTGTTTCCATCCATTCTACAAAGACGGATCTGTAACTATGTACCTGGTGAAACAGAACGTGGTTTCGATTTGATAATTTAAGCGATTATATGAAATAAAATTACGAATAGAATTGGTTAGATCGAAGCGAATTGAACTTACAGATGGAGACAGAAGACGATGGGGTTTGAAGATCGAGAACGGAGTGAATTAGGGTTTCAAGTGGATATCTGATAGGAAATGTTTTTCATGTTGTTGGTGCTTCAGCGATGCGGTTGATCTTGTACTCTGATGTAACCTTTTTTACTACTTGCATTTATCGTTTATATATAAAATTCCTCTCGTATCATTCGCAACGCGTTTTTTCATCTATAGCCTAGCCAACCAAACTATTTTAGTTATTAGTTATATCATTTTTGGTGGTACAATTTTTGAATAAACTGCTAACATATATTTCCACTCTAAACTATTTATATGCTATCAACCAATTATTATCATTGTATTTTAGTCTCGCTTTAATTTTTAATTTTTTTTAATATGATGTATATAATGAGAGAAAATTATTGAAATATATAGATAGTATTAAAAAAATTTACATCCACAATTAATTACAAATATTAATTTATTGAAAATATTTAACTTTTATTTTTAACTTTTTTAAACTATTATAATCGAGTGATTGTAATGTATTGATAGAGTAAAACTTATACTAATAGTGTATAACAATTCAATTCATATTGAAATAACAAAATTTTGTTAAATATTGAAATAACAAAACAAGTTTATTTTTAACCTCGTTTATTTAATAAAATATATTTAAATTTATATGTAATTTAAAATAAATTATTTAATTATAAAATAAATAATAATTATATGAGTTTAGTTGTATTAAAGAACGATAAAAAATAAAAATGAATAATTTGTATTTAACATAAACATTCACAACCACGGTACCCATTAGAGAATTTCTCATACACAATAAACAATGTACTTAGATCGAAGATAAAACAAGTGAATTAAACTATAAGTGATAATCTAGCATTTACTAAATAATAATAAATTGTCTTGAAAGTGAAAACGAATTGGTTCTTTAATCATATTAAAGAAAAAATATTAGAATATATAATAATTAAGATTTTAGAGTTTTCATCATTGAGAATAATATTTGATTTTACCGGTTGATAGGAATTTGAAAGTGGGTCTAGATGATGAGTTTGTTTGATTGGAAATATGAGGAGATGAGGGGCTGTACCTACAAGACACTCCGACGATCTAGTAAGAAATAGTGCGAAGAAATACAAGAAAGAGATTAGAGTTTTTAGTATGAATATTAGATACCTGGCCCTCACAAGTGTGGGGGTTTATATAATACCCTCACCGCGAAGCCATTGGTTTCTATTTTTGGGCCTAGATATTAGGTTCCTCAAAAATAGGTAATTGTCAGGACCTGGTCAAAACGGGTGGTTGTGCCCGTAACTAGTCGTTGCTTCGAGCAAGGGTGAGATGACGTGCAGACGCGTTGTAAGCGCCTTCTTGGTTGTCTGCTCGACGAGTAGCGAGCAGGCCTGGAACTGGATGTTGATGCAGGCAGACGCATGGCCAGGGCATTAGTATCCTCGATATTCTCATGGGACGGTCGATCAAGTGTGCTCGACCGAGAATCAGAGTTAGTGGGCCAAAGTTGTTTGTGTCGTGCTGAGGTAGAAGTGGATTGGGCCAATTCTAGTCATTAAGCCAGTTCAGAACATGAGTCCCCCAAGTCGTTGCCTTCAGGCGGAGGAACGACGACTTAAGACATGCCCGCAAAAGGGTACATTTTACGGACAAATTCGTGCGAGGAGTTCGAGCGATGCTTTGTGTGCCCGTCTTGCAGGGAGAAGAACAGTTGAATGGGTCTCGATGGGTTAGCGTGTTGTGCTTGCATTGAACCATGTGTTGTCATAAAGGCATAATGATGGCAAGCCTAGGGACTAGGGGTTAATGATGACGACCATATGTTTCCCTAGGCGCATGATTTCTCACGTGCAGGCAGAATTTCTTATAAATAGAAGAGAGTGAGCCTCATTTGTATTTTTCACTTGCTCTTTTTCTGCTTGTTTCTGCTAGTTTTGCATGACACCATCGTTCTCCGTCAAAGTTCTTGCACGTTCTGTCATTTACCGCTGGGATTTCTGCTCGTTCCGCCGTCAATCTTCCCTAACTTGGTAAGTTTCTCGATTTCTCCTTGTTTATGTGGAATTTGCTTCTGTTCTAGGTTAGATTTTCTATTTCTCTTCCTAAAAATGCATGTGACTAGGGTTTATAGTAGTTTAGTGTAGAACTCTTCAATGGTATGTTGGTGTTTAGACGGTGGTTTTGCCACGTGAGGGTGTCGGCTCCATCCCAGGTTCTTCAGGAAAGTCTAGTGTCGGGGCCAACGATGGCAAGTGGTGGTGACTCCTCCAGCGAGGTTGGTCCGTTTCTGGATTTTAGATGCGATCTTCATATGTTCCCGATGAAATTTTGGGAGTGGCTTAGCCCAGATGCGTCGGGGAGGTCGCTGCCCGCGTGGTTTATGTTCCAGATCGGCGTACATGCGCTTGATGTGCTTCGAGAGATGGTTGTGGTGCCTACTCTTAGCTATCGAGTGAGGGCTCTAGTCGAGGACAGGTTCCTCGTTCGTTTGAACGCCCTTTCACTTGATTAGCGGTGGAAGGGTGGATTTGATTTTGACGTTGAATTCACTTTTGTCCTCTACTTTTCAGGTAAGATGGTCAGTAGTACTGATGACGAACTCATGAGCGAGCACAACGACTTTGTACCAAGTTCTTCTAATCGTACTTCCACCGAGGGGAGTACCTCATAGGGCGCGTGATCTTGAGTCGGGCGCACCAGAGTAGGGTGCAGATGTGGAGAGCGCGCCTGCGGCTTCTGAAGATCCCTTGTTCTGGGTTATGTCGGGTCCTCTAGAGATTGCCTCCCACTTCGCTGAGCATCCAGACGAAGTGTTCGCGTTGGTGGCTCCGGGGATGAAGTTAGAGGGTGTCGAGGAAGAATGGGCGATTTACGTTCTAGAGAAGAATCATCGCATATGCTCGAAGTTTGATTCAAACCACCTTCATATGTATGAGATTCTCTTCCGAGAGTTGGGTCTTTGACTTCCTTCACTAATCTTCATGTGGTTGTTTTTTGGCATCTTCGTCTTGCTCCCTCCCAGCTTCATCCCAACTCGATTTCCTTCTTGTGGGATTTCGAGATAGTGTGTGATTATTTGAAGATATGGGCTACTGTTCCTTTGTTCTTCTACTGTTTCCACCTCCAACGGGGCACGGTTGGTACGCATTTTGGATGGGTCTCCCTGAAGCAGGCGAACGGGAAGTTGTTCAAGGCCTATCTTGAATTTGTCTGACATTTCAAGGACATGTATATGTTGATCCAGCCCGTGTCAGAGAGGGCGTTGTTGAATGTTTTTAGGAGCGTCCCATTGGTTGACGACATCGGGGGGTCCTGTAACGCCCCATTTTATTTAATATTATATTATATTAATATTTTCGAATTACCGTTTGACGTTTATTTTTGCGACGAGAATATTTAAATTAATCGTTATATCTGTTAATATATTCGGCGACGTTTTATTCGGACCGGTAATTATTTTATTTGGTCCGGTATTTATTTTAAGGGACCGATAATTATTTTATTCGGTCCGGTATTTATTTTGAGGGACCGGTAATTATTTTATTCGGTCCGGTATTTATTTTGAGGGACCGGTAATTATTTTATTCGGTCCGGTATTTATTTTGAGGGACCGATAATTATTTTATTCGATCCGGTATTTATTTTGGGGGACCGGTAATTATTTTGTTCGATCCGGTATTTATTTTGGGGGACCGGTAATTATTTTGTTCGGTTCGGTAAAATATTATTCGGACCGATATTTAATTATTTGGAGTTATTTTAATTATTTTGGGTTAGTAAGACTAGTGGAGGGTAGTATGGTATTTTCATGTTGTCTTAAGACCAAAATCCAAACAAAGGCATTAGTTGTTGTTTTATGAGAGATAGAAGTATCATAACACCAAAAATACACTTTGAGAGAGTTAGAGAGAGCTATAGGTCTTGGAGGAAGAGAAGAACAATAACACAAAGCTTGGGTTTTGGGTTGGTTGGAACATCAAGAATCATTTCAAACATCTAAGGTAAGGGGTTTGATTTTCCAATACTTATAGTTAGGGTTTGATTTGGTATAAAATTGATGTTAGGGTTCTTGAGATTTGTTGAGATAAATTAGGAGAGTTAATTTAGGTGTTAGTGTCGTGGGATTATTGTTATGTTAATAGAAATTAATTTAGGAAAACTAAATTATATTAATTAAGTTTAGTTTATAACCTAAACTAGATTTAGAAAACTAAAACTAAAGCATACATAATAGGAAACTAGCATATGCAGTATAGAATAAGCTCTAAAACTAACTTATGCAGTATAGGAATAGAAGTGAAGTTTAGAAAAACTATAAGTAAACTAACAGTACTTATAAAAACTAAAGCATGTGTAAATGAAATGAAGTTTTGAAACTAAAATAAAATTATGCAGTATAGCAGTATACTTTAGAAAAACAAAAAAAAAAGAAATAGCAGTATACTTTAGAAAAACAAAAACGTAATAGGAGTATGTTTAGAAACTAAGCTAGCAGTATGGAATTGAAATTAAGTTTAGAAAATTAATTAATTTATGTTTTGTTTTTCTTTTCTTGATTTAATATATTAAATATTTATATTAATTAAATACAAATATGACATAAGTTAGCCGATTTAATTTGGAATCCGATTATGTTTCGATTTCCCAATTTCGGTAATTTCGGCGACAGAGCAAGTTGCTCCGAATTTAACGAAAATTGACGTGCTAGTTAATTTTGACGTGTAGAACGTCGTGGTGAGGTTAGTTTTTCGATATTACGAGTTTTTAACGGAGCGAACCGAAATAAGTTAATTTACGGTTAAGTTGAACCGGGTTGCATTTTAGTCGATTTAAGTCGCGTATGGACAATCCGATTGCGATG